CCAGGCTCAGCCCTGGGGTCTCAGGAGAGAAGGGAGCAGCCTGGGCCAAGGGTGGTGACAAGGTAGGGCAGTGGGACCTGGGTCAGTGATGTGCCACAATCCAGCATCTGATTTCCTTGCAGGGACCCTCCCCAAGCCCACCCTCTGGGCTGAGCCAGGCTCTGTCATCCACCAGGGGAGGGCAGTTACCATCTCTTGTCAGGGGACACAGAAGGCCCAGAAGTACTGTCTCATTAAAGAAAGAAGCTTAAGGCCCACATGCAAACCTGCTTCGCTGGACCCAGAGAACAAGGCCAAGTTCGCCATCCCCACCATGAGTGAGCGCCATGTGGGGAAATACCAGTGCTACTATCTCAACCCTCCTAGGTGGTCAGAGCACAGTGACCCCCTGGAACTGGTGGTGACAGGTGACAGGACACTCAGGGGTCCCAGCCCCAGGCTCTGCCCTCAGGGAGGGGGTCTGCTCCCAGGTGTCCCTCTCACAGCCCAGCTGGGGATGGTGTGGGAGGAGGGAGCCATGAACACCTGCCTCCTTCTCTGCTAGGAACCTACAGCAAACCCAGGCTCTCAGCCCTGCCCAGCTCTGTGGTGACCTCAGGAGGGAAGGTGACCCTCCAGTGTGGCTCAGGGCAGGGATATGACAGGTTTGTTCTCGCCAAGGAAGGAGGACACCACCTCACCTGGACCCTGGACTCACAGCGACACCCCAGTGGACAGTTCCAGGCCCAGTTCCCAGTGGGAACTGTTAACCCCACCCACAGGTGGACATTCACATGCTACGGCTATTTCAGGAGCAAACCCCAGGTGTGGTCAGGACCCAGTGACCCACTAGAGCTGCTGGTCTCAGGTAAGGTGTTCCCATTTTTCACTCCATCATTTTCTGAGGCTGTGCCATTGCAGGCAGAGTCCCAGGTGTGAGAGTGTGACCTGCAGGCAGGACGGGGGGAGGCAGGGGGTTGGCAGGATCCAGCCCTCAGCCCAGGCTCCTCTTCCTCCAGGGGTGTCCAGGAAGCCCTCCCTCCTGACCCAGCAGGG